ACACACACACACACACACACACACACACACACACATACACACACACCCCTTCACAAATCATCCTAATTCATAATCTCATTGCTTGATTAGGTACGCACTCATAACCTGAACATTGTTGTTTTCTATTCTCTTTAGATTTTAAATAACCTCAGCATGACTGTCAAATCAGGTGAGATGACCACTCTGGTTGGATCCAGTGGAGCTGGGAAAAGCACAGCACTGCAGCTCATTCAGCGATTGTACGACCCCAGTGAAGGCATGGTGTGTGTCTTCCAGAAATCTCTCTGTCTCCTGGCATGAGGAGATTGCAAAAGGGATCTGTTAGACAAATGAAAAGTCATCGTATACACTGAGATTGTTCCAACATAGACATAGCTGATATAATGTTTTCTGAACAAATTAGTAGAAAAATACCCTGTAGGGGGCAGTGTTTATTGAATAACTAGTCGATTTGCTCAGTGCAATACCACTAAGTGATATTACAGCCTTTTTATTGAGCAAAATTTTCCATTTCTTTTGTTGCTCTGTAACAAAACTAGGATTGTTCCTCTAGATTCCTCAGATACAAAGTGTTGGAAAGCTTATATAACTAGAAATTAATAAAGAACTACTTTTACTGCTTTGAGAAGTTAGGTTTCCTAAAATGAATTCACAAAACATTTAGTCACTTTTTTTTTATTGTAAAAGGTAGCCTGGTAGCACAATGCTTAAGTGTTTGGCTAGTAACCAAAAAAGTTTGTGGCATGAATCCATCAGGAAGGAAAAGATGTATCAGTCTGCTTCCATAAAGGTTCAATTTAACTCAATTCCTTTAAGGTCAATTGCTTTCAAGACTGAATTGCCCCACAGCTGACCCTCCAGTAGGTTTTCAGAGGCTGTGAATAGCACAGGAGGAGATAGCTCATCTTTCTTCTGCAGAGCAGCTGGTGGATTTGAACCACTTGCATTTGGGTTGGCAGTCCAATTCCTTATCCACCAGGCCACCAGAGTTCAACATAAAGATTACCGCTTTGGAAACCTTCTGAGGCACTTTTAATCTGTCCTATGTGGTTACTATGAGTCAGAATTGACTCGACAGCAATGAAATAGGTTTTATTTGGCTGTAAATATAGATAGCAATTATTAAAATTAATAATACTAATAACTGACACTTTAATAACAAATTGTATCAACTATTTTATAAAAATTGTCACTTATCACAATGAACCTCAAGAAGTAAGTGTATATACTACATATGGAAGGAAGAATAAACTAAAAGGCACTGAACTTGCCCAATGGTAATAAACTCCTACGTGACAAAATCAGGATTTGAATCCAGGTCTGCTGGTGCCAAAGCTTATCTACTTACTAATCTATTTTAAAAAACATTCTTATCAATGTCTTCTTGATGCCTTGAAATGTTTTTTTGACTATATTTTAAATGGTTCAATGCAATGAGTTCTCTGTAAGGATAAATTTAATGGAGTTTTCCTTTTCCTTTTTTTCAGACATTTTATTGTTTTATTGTTTGATTCGGTTTTCTTTACTGCATACTGCCGTAACTACACACTGAGTATATAGAGAACATAATGTTTGTATATGTTTTTGCTAACAGTTAATTTTATTTGCTTCTCTTACTTAAAACTTTCATTAGTTTTGCACATCAGAGTATTGTGTTATGAGTAAAATTTACTATAAAATAAGCATACACAAGATAAACACCTTTGTTTTATTCATTGTATCTTTGTAAATCCACTTTTGATTTAAAACAGAACAAGAATACGTAAAGCGTGTTTAATAAGGGACCCTACTCTTCAAGAGAAGTTTGAAAATACTATTCTGGGGTCAACTGTGTTGAATTAAATGATCTTTACATCATTTTATATTTCTGAAGTGAGTTGTCCTACAGTTGTTTTTAATCCCAACTACGTACAGTTGTCCCTTGGTATCCATGAGGGATTGGTTTAAGGGCTTCTAGAGCCTTCATTCCAAAACACACAGATACTCAAGTCAAGTTTTTGTTGTTGCTGAGTGCCATCAAGTCAGCTCCAAAGCAGTGATCCTGTGTACAACAGAAAGATATACTCACTGTCAGTCATGCGTCAACCTCACAGTCTCTGCTGTGCTTAAACTCATTGCAGTAACCACTCTGACAATGGTGTAGTATTAGCTTATAACCTGCATGCTTCTTTGGCTTACTGTACTTGAAATAATTTCTAGATGACTTATATAATACCGTAAATAGCACCTTAAACCCCCTCTTTGACTACAAGTGATTGCTCAGGCCACTTAACTGCTTTAGATTTTTCCATTTTCAAGCTACTATTAGTGGAAGCAGGAGTAGGATCCACCTCCTAAACAACATGCCTCCGGAAACTCTATGAAGTTTGATAAATGTCTATAGTTGTAGAGGGGCTTTAGGCTTTTTGTTCATAGGGTCATTATGAGTCATGCTCAACTCGAGCAATCAGCAACAACATTTGTGTAAACAGCAGATGCAGAACTCATGGATACTGAGAGCCAACTATATTGCTATCCTTAAATTAGTAACCATGGTAAAAGAGAAACTATTTCGTACATTGTTTTACCCATCTCCATTAATTTCCCTCTCTATTGGTTAAGCATTGTATGATTCAGAACCTTGAAGAAGTCCAAAAGATGTGATATTGTACTCATGCTCTCCAGGTTACCCTAGATGGCCATGACATTCGCTCTCTCAACATCCAGTGGCTTAGAGCCCAAATCGGGATAGTGGAGCAAGAGCCAGTACTGTTCTCCACCACAATCGCAGAAAACATTCGCTATGGCAGAGAAGATGCCACAATGGAAGATATAGTCCGAGCTGCCAAGGAAGCCAATGCCTACAACTTTATCATGGACCTGCCTCAGGTACCCACCTCGGCCTTGTATTCCCAAGTGGACATTCAAAACTTCCTAAAAGGAAATCAAGTTACTCAGTGGTGCCCATTTCTTTTTATTTGAATCCTGAGTAATTAAATGTTTTTGGGTTTGTGCATCATTGAGTCAAAACTGACCCTTCAGAGTTTTCAGAGGCAGTCCATCTCATGGAAGGAGACTGACCATCTTTCTCTGTAGAATAGCTGGTGGATTAGAACTGCATGCTCTGGGTTTGCAGCACAGCTTCTTACCACTAGGCCACCAGGTTCATGCGTGGGATTATATGATGAGGTTTTTCTTTTGTCTGAGAAAAAAGTTAGTGTTAATTAATCAGAAATCTATGCCCAAGGGTACATTTTAAAAGAAAGCTTCTGAGTTTAGTGTCTCTCAATTGCTACTGAGTCAATACTGACTAGAGTGACCGTTTCTGTAGAGGAGCACTGTGTTTTCTGGGGTTCCTGGCTGTGCCCCCTCAGAAGCAGATTGGATGGGTTTGAATCATCAACTTTCTGGTAAGCAGCTTAAAGCTGACCTGTTTACTCCCACCACGTACCAGATGTACAGTTTGCCATGGAGCAGTAACTTGCACATCCTCCTTTTGATGTCTACTGATATCACCGTTCTTTCTTTTTCTTGTGCTTTGGTAGCTAATACTGTGACTTCAGCAGGGCATGTCACATAGTGGAATTCATTTAACTCCACTCTAAACAGTAATGACAAAACTCTCTCAGAATTACTATATAAACGTAGATTTCTCAGGCAATAGTCTTTAAGTTAAAGAAGAGTATTAGTATTGATGATGAGTTGGAATCGGCTCCATCATAAGTAATAATAACAACATCATCATATAATGAGGTTCACAGTATACAAAACCCTGTTCTAAAAGCTTACGTCTATTAACTCATTGAACCTTCATGATTCCCTGCTGGCAGCTACAAATTTTATCTCCATTTGTAAATGGGGAACTGAGGTGTTGAGAGATCGAACCACATGCTCAAGATGAAAAACATTCAATTGCCAGTGAGTCAATTCACAGTGAATTTACTCCTGATGATCCTCTGTGTGTCAGAATAGAAGTGTGCACCATAGGATTTTCAGTGGATACCTTTTTGGATATAGGTTTCCAGGGTTTTCACCTGAACAATCAACCTCTTAATTAGTAGTCTGAAATTAAGGGTTGCTGTGAGTTAGAATTGACAGTGCATTTATATTTATTGATGTGTTTCTTTGAGTTAAAAAATAACTTCACTGCCCCTCCAGCAGGTTTTCAAAGCTTGTAAATTGCACAGGAAGAGATTGTTCATCTTCTTCTTGCTGGTAGATTCGAGCCAGTTTAGGGTTGATAGCGGAATCAATTTTTACTTTGGATCAAAAATTTCATTTGAGATTAAGCTAATGAAGAGTGCTGATACACAGCTGAGTGAGTCTGGAATTAAAAAGAGAGGTATCTATGTAAATTCGTTCTTAAAAGGGAAGCTAAAAAGGATTCTGTGCTGGATCACTGTCAGGGATCCATCAAATGTTTCTCCCTTAGTAACTGGAGTCATTTTCTTCCTAGAAATTTGACACCCTTGTTGGAGAAGGTGGAGGCCACATGAGTGGTGGTCAAAAACAAAGAATAGCCATTGCTAGAGCTCTTGTCCGCAACCCCAAGATCCTGCTGTTGGATATGGCCACCTCAGCACTGGACAATGAGAGTGAAGCCATGGTGCAAGAAGCTTTGAGTAAGGTTTGTTGATAGTCTGGATTAATTTTACAGGTTCTTGTGGAAATGTTTGTGCTGCTATAGGAGACGCAGATCTTTGAGAACAGTGAAGGCAGTGAAGGAGTCAGGGGGAGAAGGTAACCACGCACAGTGGATCTTCACTATTGGCAGATTCCATATTTGTGAACTCTATTACTCGTAGTTGCTGTGATTCTGAACACTGTGACACTGATGTGTCAAATGCCATAATGGTTACTATCGTAGACAGTGTTTGGTGGAGCTATCTGATTAAAACAAGCATGGAAGCAGGAGTGGCAGCCACTTCCGAAACAGCTTGCCTCTGGAAACTCTATAAACTTGGAGAAACAATGAAAGTTATACAAGTGTTCAGATCTTTCATTCATAGGGTCACTATGAGTCATCTACGACTCAACAGCAATTAACACTAACCACAACAATGACAGGATTGCTCAATTTCTTACTGGACAGAAAGTGATGCTACTACCAAGCCAAAGGTGGGAGATTTTAATCTGCAGCCCTCAGGCCTGGTTTTAATTGTTTTTGGTCAAACAGACTTCTAAGCAGTATACCACTGGTCTATCTATTTGCTGTACAGAGGTAACTTGTGGTTGCTATATGATGCTGAACACTGTGACACTGATGTGTCAAATGCGATAATGGTCACCCATGATGTCTAGTGGAGCTCCCGATTAAAACAAGTGTGGAAGCAGGAGTGGCATCCACTTCCGGAATAGCTTGCCTCCAGAAACTCTATGAACTTGGAGAAATGATGAAAGTTATACAAGTGTTCAGGACTTTCATTCATAAGGTCGCTATGAGTTGTCTAAGACTCGATAGCACTTAACAACAACATTACTTTATAAAATTTACTTATAACCCTCAACTCAATCCTTGTGGTATTTTCATTATCATTTTCAGGTGTCTATGGAGTGGGGAAAAATGTGAGCTACTCAATGCACATTTCTGAGCTGAGTTCAAAGAAGCTGACACTCTTCCTTCAAATATATTTTAAGTCTGCTTATTGCTACCTTTTATTGCTTTCTTTTGCTGACTTTGCTCTTAAAAATGGCCCTCAAGTTAGTACTGACATGTTGTCTACTAGTTCTAGTACTAGTGCTAGGAATTGTGGAATGCTTTGCAGAGAAAATACATGTGTTGTGTAAAATTTACTCAAGTGTGAGTTATACTGTTGTTTCCTGTAAATTCCGTGTTAATAAATAAACACCATACATTAAATAAGGTGTCTTTAAACAGAAAAATAAATAAAACAATATTACATACTGAAGATGTTATGACCAGAGGCTTTCGGAAACCTAGCATTATATTTCTCCTCCAGCAATGGTTCAGAGTTAATTAAGAGTTCATGGTGACTTTAGAGAAACTTCTTCAAGTAACAAGAATCAACTGTAGCCAGATTTTGCTTGGGTCAGGTATTCAGAGTTGCTGTTTAGAAAGTATAGAACACAATTTGCCTCATAGCTGAGCTGAAGACAGGACTTGCTTCCAGTGGTTGCCTGTGAAATATTAAAAATTTTGTTCAGTCTACCTTATAATATGTGATTTTAAATGTTTGGGTTTTTTTAGCTGTCAGTGAATAATAGCAACTAAAAGAATGTATGATGGTGCACATGGTCCACGGAAAGTGAGCTGACCTTTCCTAATGTGACAGTCTGTTCAAGGATTTTTCCAGAAACCAAGGCTTTGATGTACTTGGATTAGAGACAAGCCAAAGAGGCCTTAGCTCTGTCCTATAGTCTTTTTTAATAATATACATTTCCACAGATTCAGCATGGACATACTATCATTTCAATTGCCCATCGCCTATCCACAGTTAGAGCTGCAGATGTCATCATTGGGTTTGAACATGGCACAGCAGTGGAAAGAGGCACCCATGAAGAGCTATTGGAAAGAAAAGGAGTTTACTTCACTCTTGTGACTTTGCAAAGTCAAGGAGATCAAGCCCTTAATGAAAAGAGCAAGGAAGGCAAGTGTCTTTAATATATATTTCAGAGGCA